TTTCAGAAGCTTCATTAAAAAGTTTATCAAAGTAACTCACCCACCTATGTTGAATATCTTTTTCTAAGAAAATCACTTTTTGATTTTCATCTTTAATACACTTTACTTGAGTTAAATCTTTACTTTTCTTTTTTATTTGTTTGGCTAGTTTATATATATATTTTTCTTCCTCCTTAGTATCTAATCTATTATAAAGTTCATTAAAAACATAATTTTTAGTGTCACAGATTGATCTTTTAGTCTCCCTGCAGGCCGTGTGATTTTTTTATCAGTTCTCTAAGCTTTTACTTTTAAACCAATTTTTATAACATAACTGCTTATATTTTATCTTTTCGTGCACATTATTATTACACCACCAACTATTTTTATTTAAGTAAACTTTTTCTTTTGATTCTCCAAGTACATCTCTTGCTACTTGTTTAATAATGTTTGTTACTATATCTCACATAGCATTTGCTTTATCATGAACATCCCAAATTATGAAATCTTGAATTGTACTCATAAAAATAATTTTATTTGTCTTGTAAGTTCCCCCATTTAACTCTACGATAATGAGTCACAGTATTCTTTATTTTACAACTCTTAGTCTTAAAATCTAGAACTATAAACAATTTTGGGCACTTAAATCCTCACTTGGAATGACCTTACAATCTTTACAATCTCAACGATCTTTTCTTCTCATAAGAAAATAATCAATTTGTGTTTTGTTAGATCCATTCTTATAAGTAATAATATGTTCATCTCTTTCCTTGAATAAAATATTAATAATAACAAAATCATACACTGAAGCAAAATCTAAAATAGTTTTATCTTCTTCATTAGTCACTCCAAAACCGTTGCCACCATGAATATTACTGAAATCTTCTACTACTCTACCGACTTGTCCATTTAAATCTCCTTCAATAAAAATTCTTTCTTCAAAATGCATTGTTTGTATTAAGTCTTCTAAGTCATTCTAGAATTTATCTTTTCGACAAGTTAGGGACGCCATAACACTTACACAATGATCAAAATGATTCATGTCATGATTTTTTCGATAAGTTTTATGTTGGCTGTCGACTACCTTACGTAACCCTCTATTTTTCACATCCGGGCTTGAGACCGGCAAATGCAGTGTTAGATTAAGATAGATATGTTTTAAGAAAATTTGTAGTTTGAAAACATTTTTTCAATCGTATCTCTAGTTTTTTTTAGCATCATAATATTTGCCAGGATTTTACTTTTTCGATTTTTAACAACAAGCAGAAGATTGACTTATCTTTTATTTGCCTATGATAGCTGGACAGCCTCTTAATTTTTTTTTTTTTTGTGTGTGCAGTAGTAAGATTACAGGCTATGGATATTTTTAAAACATATTTTTCCTGTTAAATGGATCATGCTGCAAAATATAGCCAGTTGCTAGGACAAAGCATGTTTTGAGATGGCCAAATTTTTTATTCGTGAGAGGATATTTTTTTGTTAAATCAATCACAAGAAAACTTTTGAAGTACAGACAGATATTTTAGTTAAGAAGGCAACATAAATGCTTGCATTAAAAAATCCCAAGGTTGTTGCATACAGATCATAAGATTTTGGTTGAATTTTTCGGAGTACACAATAACAAACCCAAAATAGTCTGGCAAAAATTGATGGAATGACTCCATGAAACATAGCCTGAAGCCTGGCTATTAATGTTTAGTTTGCGTGCTTATTTATGTGAACTATTAGAATGAATTTTATTAAATTAATGCTTTACTCCATTATGACATACAATAAATTTTTCTTCTCTTTTCTAAGGGAGGATGATTCAATAATAAAAAAAAAAAAAAAAAAAAAAAACTTATGATGATGATCTCTCTGTTTGAAGCTTGCTAGACAATCATCAAAAGCCTGTATCATTTTAAGTGAAACAGTGAAGCAAGAACAATAATTCTACACATCCATGAAGACAGTCAGGTTTTGTTTTAATCAAGTAATTTTTTAAAATTTCTGAGAAAATTTAGTTTTCCTTTTTTTTTTTTTGACAACAATAGATCAATAAGGAATGTGGAAGTTATTCTGGGGAATAATCGTTCTAGCGAAATCATCTTAAGAAAAAATTTTTAATTGGCTCCCACATTGTGTCAACTATGGATTTTTCTTTAGACAATATGGAAAGTTCTAAACAGTGAAGCTTCTCTTGTTTCTCCTAAAGCAGATACAAATAGAGTTTGATGATGGATCTCTTGCAATTTTTTTTCTTACGATATGCTGTTTAGCTTGTGACTAGTAGTATTTTAGTGTTTCTTATCGCCTGTGTTTCAATCAGTTTCAACATCAAATGAGCAACCTTTGATCTCGAGTTGATGGTTAAGGCATGTTGATGATGTTACTGAAATTCAAGTAACCATGTTTTGCATCACCCGACATTGAACTTAAAATCACACCAAGGGTAGACAAAAATGATTATCAACTAGAAAAGATGGATCTCCCTAGACTCGGATAAAAATCTATGAAGGGAGGCAAACTCTAGGTTGATTTAGACACACAGGGAGTCTTCATGGCCACTTTGATCTAAGTTCAATAGAACACAAGTTCTTTTATTTGTGCTGCTGAAGCCAAAATTCTACTATTTTATATCGTGCAATTTTTTTCTTTGTATCATCTCTTTTATTTTGTTTTTTGATTGCCGGTGAGGAGGGGGAGATTGAGTGCACTGCACATTTGAATGTTGGTTATCTTGTAACTCATGTGTCGCTGCCCATTAAATCTAGGCCAAGCCATGATATGAGATCATGTGTTTATAGGATGGGCTGATAGCAAGAACCTCACAACATGGATTCTCCATGTGGTTGACGTTTTGGGTGAGCTAGGAACTTCATAGCTAATAAGGCTTCATGGGTGCTGCGACTTTGATGATTGGACGAGGTGGCAGGAGTGGAAGTTTGCAGGCCTCGGCGCCAGTGATATAGATATGATGTGGATGTGATGGAGGGGGCTTAGTAGCTCACGGGCATGTATGTTAGCTATTGAGAGAGTTTCTGATTATATTGTGTTTTACTCGAAGGGAAGATGGTGGCTTAAGTTTTGGGTTGCCATCCTATCCAATGTGAAACTTTGACATTGCTGATGAGAAGAAAATTATGTGAAGGGCATGTATGTTAGCTATTGAGAGAGTTTCTGATTATATTGTGTTTTACTCAAAGGGGAGATGGTGGCGTAAGTTTTGGGTTGCCATCCTATCCAATGTGAGACTTTGACATTGCTGATGAGAAGAAAATTATGTGAAACTTTGATATTAGGGATGAGAATAAAATTTTCTTTAATGATGCTTGATTTGATATATAAAATTAATGACAATATTTATGATAGTTCTCTTCATTATTATATAAGTTTATTACTACATATATTTTTGGTCATTATTTATTATTATTAATGACAATAGTTCATACTTAAAAGTTAGGCTAAACCTGGGTCAATGCCAATTATTTAGTTTTAATCCAACTAAAAATTTAGGACATTACATAAGTCAATTTGTTTTGGAGCCAAAAATTAATTGAGTTAGGATTTGTTCAAATAATTTTAATGTATACACGAACATGCATATAATTATTTTTATAACTATAAGCCAGATTCTCTTCTTTAGAAATTTAATCATTTAATTTCCAAGAGAATGGGATTTATACAATTAGTTCTGTGGTAGAAACTAAGATTTAATAATAGCAGTAACTTTAATTAGAATGGTTAGCTAGCTTGCTTGCTTGGCTTCAAATATTCATGCTCTTCCTGCTGGACTGTTGAATAATCTATAATTTTTACAACACTCGTTCAACTTTAATTTATTCGAGTAATGGTATTATTCATGTGGTTGTGTGTTTTTTTTGCTGATATGTTCTGTCTTCACAGGTTGCGTGGGTCACGAAAACTGGGCAGAGTAATTTGGAAGTACCTATTGCAATTCGCCCTACAAGTGAAACTGGGATGTATCCTTATTACTCCAAGTGGATTAGGGGACACCGTGATTTGCCATTAAAACTAAACCAGTGGTGCAATGTTGTACGGTGGGAGTTCAGCCACCCCACTCCATTCATAAGGTACATTTTGTTTTTTATGTTTTCTGTCTCTCAAGTAAAATGTCCATTAGGTGCATTTTTTATATCATTTAATTAATCATCATGAAGATTTAAAGACCTTCATCTTTCTTTAGCAACCTTTGGTGAAGTTTGAATAGGAGTATCCAATCTAGAAGAATCACAGGCAGTAATTCATATTTAATAACCACCTAGAAATAACAGAGTCGTATATTTCGGTGCTTGAATCCCCTGAAAAATGAGATATTTTTTTTTGTGACTATGAATTGTATAATCACTAAAAATTCTCAGCACTGCAGTTGAAATAATAGTGAAATAGGTAAGAGCATGTAGCTCTTATAATTTTATATTCTAAGATGTCACTAGACATCTTAGAATATAAAACTATAAGTTATGAAACTAGACCTAGGAGTCGAGATAATTTGCTAGCTAAATGAAATCTTATCTTTTAAACGCTAATATCTAGTTGAGTTTGTGAGCAATTAGCATATCTACATTGATCTTATTGAATAATGATTGGCTTGCAGCTGAGGTTTTCATCTAAAAAATAATTGAATTTCAACTTTAAGTGATATGTATCAACCACTTTGGTGCTTCAGAAGATTACATGAATTTTCTTTGCGTACTGTCCAGAGTTAAAGTTTTCTTTTTTCTTTGGGAAGTTACGAGGAATGGAAAAAGTATTCTGCAAGATGTTGTAGTCATCAGTTTGAATTAAGTCTTCTGTGGGTTTTACTTTTCTTTTTGTCTATTGAAAAATATATGGACAAATGCTGTATTTTCTATTTCTATTAGAAACTTGTTTTTCAGGGACTTTACCTTCATTGAGGCAGATCTTCATGACAATATAGTTTCTCTTATAAGCAGCCATCAATATTTTTATCATTTAAAGCACAAGTAAAATTAGTTTCTGATAAATTTTTTAACATTTCAAGGAGTCGGGAGTTTCTTTGGCAAGAAGGTCATACGGCTTTTGCCACTAAAGAGGAAGCTGATGAAGAGGTAGCTAAATTTTATCTTTTGGCTTATACAACGATGAATACCTTGATTTTAAGTTAATTTCGTCTAATTTATGGTTTTTGCTTTACGTTTTCTTGCATACTTTTTATATTTAGTAGCCTTAGATGTAGTAAGGTTTATGGGATAACGAATAGTTTCCACATGGATTAAACTCAATAAAGTATATGTTTTTATTGAGCTCTGTTTAGGATCTTGCATTTCTTTAGCTGGCTTGTAATGTTTTTAACTTTAAAAGTTCTAATGCTGGTAATTTGTATGTATGACGAGAATGTCTTTCTTTTTTTGGTGGTCCCATGAGAATGCTTTTCCTTTCTTGTTGTTTTTAAGAGCCTAAATTTTAAGAATGATTCCAGGTTCTTGATATATTGGAACTTTATAGAAGAATTTATGAAGAGTATCTTGCAGTTCCAGTAATCAAAGGAAAGAAAAGTGAATTAGAGAAGTTTGCTGGGGGTTTTTATACTACAAGTGTTGAGGTCTGTAATGACTACCTTAAACATCAAGAGCTACATTTACTGTAATAGTTTTCAGTAATTCCTTTGACCATTCTCATATTGCTGTATATAATAGTTTTTTTCTGGCTGTTAGGCCTTTATTCCAAATACAGGTCGTGGAATACAAGGAGCCACCTCACATTGCCTCGGTCAAAACTTTGCAAAAATTTTTGAGATAGATTTTGAGAATGAGAAGGGCGAGAAGGTCAAAGTTTGGCAGAATTCTTGGGCATACAGCACCCGCACGGTAAATTGCTAAGCTACACGAGATGATTGTATTTTCTTAATTTCATCTCCTTCATGATTGGTTGAAGCATGTAGTTCTTTTCTGCCTCTTGCAGGAAGTGTAGGAATATTTAACATACTATTAGTTATATATCTTTGAAGTTTTTGTTTTAGCAGTTAGTTTTAGGTTCTCTTATTAAGCCTTATTTGAATGCAAGGAAATTAATTTGAGGTTAATTTATGAAAGGTTAGGGAATTAACATTGACATTTGGTAATTGATAATGGAGCTACAATATATTTGAATTCTGTTAAGCTCCATAACTTCTCTTTGGTTCAAGGAAAACTTTATATTTTAACCTTTTCATTTCCTAGTTTTCTTGGTACCATCCAGAATACGTGATGCCCATTTCCGCATGATACTAGAGGTGCAACTTGGCTGATCATGATGATACTTTGTTATTTTCAAGGAACTTGGAAGATTGATCCACATTGAATTCGTAGTCTTTGTTGGCACTTTTCACAAAACTTTGCTAAGAATTAATTTATTGGAAGTTATAAAACAAATTATCATGATATAGATGAAGATTCCAAGTGGTGCTATCAAGATTCTCTTTGCATAATTTCAGGGTATTATACAAAATTTTACACTGACAAATGTAAAATGACAGTTTCTTTTGTTATCAATGATTTAGGGTTAAAATTGCATCCTTGAAGGTCATTTATGCTTTATCAATTAAATATTTCACCTCTATAGAATGGCCTTTCTTATGGTCTTTTATATTTCTAACCTTTTAGGGTACTTTGAAACTTTTTATATACTTAATTTAAAGTCAGGGAATTTTTATGTCTAAAACTCATCTCTCGATGTGCATTTCATAGGTGGGCCACATAGTTTGTTTTCCTTCAGTATACAGGTCTAAGATTTTGTCACTAATTTCTACATTCCTATACATGCACTTGGTTGCTATTTTTTTTATGTTGTTTAATTTTTTATATTCTAAATCTATTGATGAGCATTAATTCTACATTCCTATACATGCACTTGGTTGCTATTTTCTTATGTTGTTTAATTGTTTACAGGCCGGCCGCGGGGGTCGACCCGCGGCCTGCGTTTAGTGTAAAAACACAAACGCAGTTTCAAATAAGTTGGTGAAACGCGCGAACCAAACGGTACGTCGACGTTTTGAAAAAGCCTTGTTTATCCTGAAATGCGGCCCGCGGGCCTGCCGCAGGGTAGACCTGCGGCCTGCGTTTAGTGTAAAAACACAAACGCAGTTTCAAATAAGTTGGTGAAACGCGCGAACCAAACGGTACGTCGACGTTTTGAAAAAGCCTCCCACACTTATAAGCTGCCCCAAACGGACCCTAAATCTCTATTGATGAGCATTATTGCATGCCTTGGACTTCATTGACATTGATTGATATTCTTTATGTTCATTTTTTTTGGTCAGAGGATAATAATATTTTGGTGCTTATTATTTATCACAGAACCCCTTATTTATAGGATCGCGTATTCTAGAATATTGTATTCAGTCTTCTATTTATATTAGAGGATTGAGTACGATATTCTAGAGCATACCCACTTAACATTTTGCACTCAACAAATACAGATCACTTTTCAAACAAGATTTTTGCGATGCTATGATGCCCTTTAAAGCTTGAGTATATTTATCAACTAGATTCAACTTGTTACATATATTTGAAAAATATGGCTAATTGTTTTAAACTATAACCATTAGAGTGTGATGGCTTTCTCAAACAGAACATCTCAATGAAGTAAATAGTTAATTTTGATGTGTTTAGTTCACTTGTAGAAGACAATTGCTAGCGACATAGGTAACATAGGTTTGGTTAAATGTAAGTATTTACGTTCAAGAAGTATTTTTAACCCCATCATCTTTTAGGTAGGTTGTGTATGGCTTTGCATTCTACTTTTACAACGGATCTTGTCATAATTGTTTGCTTCTTAATTATCTTGGTTACAAAATTTCCACCAACAAAGATGCAATTTTTAAAAGTTAATTTTTTATCTCTAGCTACTCCAATGCAATTACAAAATTGGAGATAATTGGTTGAGTTCTCATTTAATTTTTTTAATTAGACTTTATACAATTCTGAGGGCATTTCTAATAGGAAATATACGAGTTTGGACCCTGAAAATTAGAAATACAATTAATATAAATGAATGGGAAAATTTAGGAGGTATGGAGCTGGTAGGGGCAACTCTCTTGAGCAGAAAGAAGGCCTTGAGTTGATGTGTTGGGTAGAGCCAGCAAGGGAGAGGAGTTGATTGGGTGTGAGTTCTGTTGGACCATTGGGTTTAGCTGGCGAAGCGGAACTAATTAGGGCATGATAGTAGGCGGAGAGGAGTCTCGTTGTACTTGATTGGGGGCTGGATCACAGGGTGCAAGTTTGTGGACTATGAGAGGCTTCTAGAGGTATATGCATGACATAAATCACGTGTAGGACTGTTCTGTGATGTATTTCCACGCTTCACCTTATGTGAATGAACATGTCATCTGTGTCAAGTTTGTGATACCAGAGTTAACTTAAACTATGACCAAACGACATAATTTTATTGTTGAATTCAAAAAAAATATAACGAGGGCTCTCAACATAAAACAACACTAACATGCAAACTATCAAACGACAATAATGACTTCTCCAACAAGAATAAAAAAGCATGAAATAAGAAATAGGATGGCAGAAAACACATAAACAACTCTCTCAACTGGAGGGCACAAGTCTATATGGAAAGGAAGGGGGCGCAATAGTGCCATAGGGAATCGGAGCAGCGTAGGGTTGTTGGCAGGATGCAGGGGAAGTTGAGCAGCAACCAGAAGATGACGACAACGGCCTAGACAGGGATCTGGAAGGTGGACAACTACCAGAAGATGATGACACTGATCTAGCAACAACTTGGAGGGTTGACAGTGCTCAGAAGATGACTACAGCGGTTTGGACATCAAATTGGAGGATGGACAACTTCGGAAGATGACGACGGTGGTCTGAACAACAATTTGGAGAGTGGACAGCAACCAAAAGATGAAGAGAATGTGCTGCGGTGGGGAGTTGGAAGGATAAATATCTCGGCGTGGTCGAGCTACACTGGAGCACAAATTGGAACCTTGGACATAACCACTTTGGACGAGTTGCAATAGGAGCACCTCCTCTCTGTCTGATACAACTCTCGGAAGGGAGGAATGCTTCAAGGCAGCAAATTGAAATCTGGAATCATTGAAACAGAATCCTAACACTACCAACAACATATTTATAATATGGATTAGTAAATTGAATATGTAATGATTAGAATAAGAAAAAAATAGAAAAGGAAGGCCATGAAATAGGCAAGGAGCAAAATAGGAGAATCATAAAAAAAAAAGGGAATAGGAGGGAAGTGGAAAAGGAAATGACTAGGGGCTGGACCATGGTATTGTTGGAGCTACAATACTACGATCCGGTAAGCTCTCGCATCAACCTCTCGGGGTTTGGGGGAGCTCCTACTTCATTCGTCGAAGCTTCTAACTCATCGTGACGTTGTGTCAAATCGTCTGGTAGGTCGATCAAGCAGGTATTGTCGTTCAAAAGCATATTCTGATAAATTATGTATTAGATCATAAAAAAAAGGGAATAGGAGGGAAGTGGAAAAGGAAATGACTAGGGGCTGGACCATGGTATTGTTGGAGCTACAATACTACGATCCGGTAAGCTCTTGCATCAATCTCTCGAGGTTTGGGGGAGCTCCTACTGCATTCGTCGAAGCTTCTAACTCATCGTGACGCTGTGTCAAATCGTCTGGTAGGTCGATCAAGCAGACATTGTCGTTCAAAAGCATATTCTGATAGATTATGTATTAGTTTTTTTTTTTCACAAACTGCGTTGAAACTGTAGATAGACGAGTATTCTCACAAATCAGGTATTGAGCTATCTAATTTGTAAGCTGCTTCTTCCACTCATACTCAACGAAATATAGCTAATAAACTAGTATGTAAAGTGAAATTAATTATGGGGTGAAATCTATGACAGGCTGCACCACTCTTACTAGCAACTAGGGGAGACCTTTTCTTCAATGATAGGATCAGGATTCCATTGAAGAGTTTTCTTTCCCATCAAGCTCCTAGTATAAATTTCGAAGTTGGGTTTCATCTCTCCTGTCTGGACATCCAAGGATGAGTACCATTCTGAAACGAATCTAACATTTGAATAACTCCTTGAAATCTTGCCGACATGGCACAAATGAGTCTCATCTATGACATGTGGTACCTCCCTCAGTAGGGCAAACTCAGGGATGAGTCTATGGGTCTGAAAGCTCTGAATTTCTCTTATCTAGGGTTTTCGTCTGTCTGATATTGGCTCCTCAAACTCATGGCTCCTTTGGACATCCAAGGTCAGTCATGCTGATGCTTTGCTGAACGTCTGCAAAATGCTTGCTCGAGACGCCCTAATCTCATATTCTGTCGAAACCCACTATATCAAAGTCACTTCCTTCTAGATGACATGTGGTACCTCCCTCAGTAGGGCAAACTCAGGGATGAGTCTATGGGTCTGAAAGCTCTGAATTTCTCTTATCTAGGGTCTTCGTCTGTCTGATATTGGCTCCTCAAACTCATGGCCCCTTTGGACATCCAAGGTCAGTCCTGCTGATGCTCTGCTGAACGTCTGCAAAATGCTTGCTCGAGGCCCCCTAATCTCATATTTTGTCGAAACCCATTATATCAAAGTCACTTCCTTCTAGAACGTCTATTGTTACCTCAGCTGGAATATCTATCTTGGGATTAACTGGAATCAATGGCGTATCGTTCTCATTGGCTGATAATTGAGAAACTTCTCAGCAGTTTGAATCTTCTTCCGAATCACTGTTTATCTCTTCAACTGGAACTGTCCCCACCGTCTCGAGTGTCTATTGTGTCATTACTCAAATTTTCAAGAATGCTCTACTTAGTGAAACAGATCACCCCCTGGTTGTGAAGTCAGATTCAACATGTCCAAATTTGTGACACTTGCAACACTTCTTGGTTGTG